ACTAATCATTTTCATGAGTCTTAAATGTCAATATTTCCGCCATTAGGTTTTCATCTGATACCACAGAAACATGAGTATGTTTTAGTAAATCAATTGGTACCAGAGATCCCCTCAAAAAAAACAAAACAAACAAACAAAAAAAAACAAAAACCTAAAATCAGTATAATAGTATTTCTGGGACAGAAATGGTGATAGTAACATGAGGATTAAGTATAGTTGTTGTCCTTGTTAATTTTTGTAACTGATTTCACAAATGAGTACTTTCTTTCAACTTGGGAAAGCTAATGTGGTAATTACCATGCAATTTACCTAGGGCATCTAAGAATAATGGTTGATGCTCAAAGCTCTGTTGGGATGAAACCTGCTTACCGGACGTTTTTAGCACTTTACAAAAGAATTTTGAAGAGTTGAACAAGTGAGGAAGGGGAAACATGTTTAATTTCATTGAAACAGCTCAGTGTCATGCTCAGACAAGCCAAGAGTAGAGATTGGCTTATCAGAGTGAGAGCAATTTCTTAAGCTGAAATCCAGGTGGATTCCATGTGCTGCCTTGGGGAACTGGGGACTCCGAATAAGAAAATCAACAAACAGTTTTAAAAGCAGGTATGATAAGAATCTCAATATGGTTGACTTTGTGCAACTATACTGAAATTGGAGGTAAAGAGAAAAGAGACACAGCATCTTCAACTCTTACTTAAATGTCTCTTTAACTGGGTCCAATTAAGACTTCATAAAAATGAGCCACGGTTATGACATTGACTGTGTAGAGGAGAGGAAGGAGTAAGTATGTGTGTCATGTAATAAACATGTTTACACAGAAAGGGAAATAAGCAATCAAATCCCACAGCAAACAGAATCTCTGATGCAAATGGCTCCATTCCGTTAGGAAAAGAGTATAACTATCTGATGGTAATTTAATAATGCATCTTAGTTTTGTATAAAGACTGGACTGATGCTTACTGCATGGACTAGGACGGCATGCGCCTGCCTCTGCTTCCCAGGGCTGGGATTAACGGCTTTGGGAAAGCAATAACATGGACATTGTACAAAGAGCTTTTCCTTTTAAAACTTATTCCAAGGTAAACTCTAAAAGAAGGAAGAGATTCCAACACCAGCCTTCAAAATTCTCAAGCCCAACAATTAAATGCTAGAAGAATAAAAGCTTTCGCATCTATAAAAACAGAAATTTTCATAGTGAAAAAGAAAGCCTGCTGAGAAGAGCAAGTTCCCTGCACTTGATTTTCTTGCTTGGTAAGCACATTTCCCTTAGTACTGATACCGTTTCTGAATAAAGGAAGGTCTTCTTTGCCTTGTTGTCTGAGGCTCGCTTTAAACACTGCCTGTCCAAACTGGGCTCATCTTCTCAGAAAGAAGAAAGCTATGTTTCAGTCATGTATGTATCATCATGGTGATCCCAATCACTCAGATCTGAACTCTCATATTTAACTTTATTTTTCTTCTCCTTTAATTACGGATCTGAAATCAAAACTAACTAAGGCCTACCGACTTCCAATCACACAGATTAATATGACAGACTGTTGGGGACACAGGTTAAGATAGGCTGTGCCCAGAAGATCTCAAAGTTAAGTGTTCCCCTTTACACTTCATAAATACCCTTGATATTTCCGGTCCCCATTCTCCTGTGGTCACTTTTCTACAAACAGCCCCTTAGCTGCTCTGACTCTGCACTCCCACGTAACACTCCGGTGTGCTGACTGAATACATTCCCTAAAGTTATAAACCCATTGTGTAATTCCCCTGCTGGGACCATCTCTATTGGTCCCTGGTATCCACGGGATGTCCAGGCACTTGTCTCTACTAATGAGCACCCTGCGCACCATCGAACCTCCCACTCTATCTACAAGCATCCTCATTATCCTAAGTACGTGTTTACAGCTCCCACCTGGACAAACCTGAAATTAATCCCTGCCTTCCTCACTCCCATACTGGTCCTCCCTCCCTGTCTATCTACCCTCAGAACTAATGCTCAAGCTCTCTTTCCTTCCATAAAGCATATCAAGAAATTACACTTACACATCACATCACATTTGTCTAAAATAATCTTTCTAAAACTAAGTCAAAAATAAATTCACATTTTGCTTATTTATTGTCTTTCTGAAGTGACCCAAAATTCTTTGAGGTTGGTAAAGAGACAGCATTTTCTTGCTTATTTCATGAATCCTTCCACTGAGCTATTTATTGAAGCCCTCTTTGTACACAGCACTCTATCAGGATAGTGAAGGAAGCTACTGTCCTTTGATACAGAAAGTCCTAAACAAATATTTGTGGGTGAATAAATTGTACCTGTTCTCCTAGCAAGCAGCATATTTATTTAAGAGAGAGAGAGAGAGAAAAAAAAGACTTTCAAACTCTCTTATTTTTAGCTCATTTGACCACAGAAATCCTATAATTTTTAAATAGTCCCCAGGAGGCAGCCATAGGAAGTTTCAACAATTGGGTTTCAGATAGATTTTATTATATATTCACTTCCGCATATTCTTGAGAATTTAATGTCACTTTTGTAATGGCTGCTAAAAGAATGTTATTGCCTTTTAAAACCATACATTTTATCCTTCAGTTTGACATAAAATGCTATAAATAAATCAGATGGAAAACTATTTAGCTACTTGACATCTATAATAACAGGGAGTATTTCTACAATGCCAGATTTATAAATAGGCAGAGGCTCCCAGTTTTTGTTATTATGATTTAATTGCCCAAACTTCTGTTGCGGGTTTACATCATTTAGTTAACAAATATGTCCATAAAATAAGCATTATAGTATGATACATATTCAAGGAAATGGATAAATGTCACTGTGGCTATTCTCTTGAATTGCAGCAAACAAGAAATGCTAAACCCCAGATGTTTACTTCAGTTGGCCCAGAAGGGATATAGGCTGCTGGGTAATCACCATGGTTACTGATGCACTCTTTATGTAGGAATGGTACTGAGGCAAAAATGGTACCATGTATCATATAGCTCCCATCCATCACAATATACAGCTCATCATGAAGCTTTAGGTTTAAAGAGCACGCTGATTTTTGTTTATAGTGGGGGGGGAGCATGGGACGTAGCTCAATTGGTAGAATTCTTGGCTAGCACACAAGAAACCCAGGGTTCAAAATCCTATACTCCATAAACCCAAAGTGGCGGTGAGGCACACCTGTAACCCCAGCACTCCAGAGTGGAAGGCAGGGAGATCAGGGGTCCAAGGACATTCTTGAGTACATAGCCAGTTACACAGCACAGAGCCATATAGACTTTACCTTTAAAAGAAAGAGGATAAAAGGGATATAGAAAATATTATTCTAATTGTGTCCAATGTGCGTGAGAACTTGCAAAGCCAATTTAAGTCTCTGAATAGCACTCCTTCCTTCCAGAGAGGATTTGCTTTTTGCTTCTATTAGTTATCTAGGCAAAGTGCAGATCTCCTAAATCCAGCTGAGGATGGAAATAATTCTAATTCAGGCTCCAGTCCTTTTGAGAACTGGCCTTTGCGAAGGATTCTGGACGCCCTGCTTAACTTCTCTCCTCTCAGCCCTTTGACATTCAGCATCTTGTGAGAAAGAGCAGTCTCAGAAGCTGGGCCCCCGCTCCTCTAGCTGTGAACCCCACCCCTCCCCCACTCTCCTTGACTCTCCTGCCTCCATAGTTTTCTGTGTTGACTCAGGGGTGTCCAGTGCACCTTGTTTTTCTTCCCTTACTCTGCAGATGCTTGCTCTAAATAAACAGCCAGAAGTAGAACAGCTCACCATCCTGCTTTTATTCCTGCTGTCACTTTACCTGTTTTTAGCTAAGTAGTTTAGATTGATCTTCAATAGCTCAATACCTGGTATCTCCTCCTTTCTTGCTCATCCTGCCTATATAAACAGGTCTCTCAGACTCTAACTTTATTTCTACTTGGACTTAGCTTATGATGGTGCAACTTTCCATCAGATATCAAATCTAGTCCTGAGCTAGATGGTGCAACAGAAAGTATCTTGGAGCTCAAACAGTTGAACTGGAATCCCTAGCTAACTCTAAATTATTTACTTCTGTGGGGCTATGAATAAAATACCTGACAAAACATCTTAGCGTGAAGAGCTACCATTTTTCTTGTTTTGGCACACAGTCACAGAAGATTTGGTCAGGGGGCTCATCCCATGCTTTTGATGGAGCATGATGATGGCTGGAGCCAGTGGCAGCATTTCTTCACCTCATGGCTGATGGGAAGCAGAGAAAAAGGACCAGGGATCTCCAAAGATGTACTACCTGTGACCTGCTTCTCCCAACCAGGTCCTTCTTCTGAAGTTAGCTCCTCCCCTCTCTACCAAGAAGCAGCAGCACTGAAACCCACCGCTAAACGTGTGCAATTGTGAAGACTGGTCTTTACTGAAACCACAGCAGAGCCTCTGACCGTTAGGTGACAAAAGAAGTGCCAATGTGGGAGGCGGTCCTGTAGGAAATCATGACATCTGCATGCCTATCCAACAGTAAGTTTGGTGGTCCTCCAGTTTTCACCTCCCACAGCACTGGGGATAGTGCACAGGACACGCCCACCTTCTCAAGTGGGCTCCTCAAGCTTCCACTGCAAGCTTTCTAACCCCTGAGCCACCTCCTCAGTCCAGCTTTCTTCTCAAGTGATGGCATCATGGGCAAGTCTCTTCCTTCCATGCTTTCCCAAAAGTCCCTGGTGCTCTAACATTTTATTTACAAAATAAATATTGACCAAGCAGAAAGGACACAGAGAATTGACATCAGTCTAATACTCAGTAATCAGGGTAATAAAAGCTCTCCTTCTAACTTTGATTTCCTTGGAGTTAATTCCAGTAGCAAAATTAAAAATGTCTGTATTAGCCATTGGAATAGCCATAGTTTCACAAGACTGCAGAGTTCAGCTGTTCCGGCCAGTGAGCCCCTCCTACTGTTCTTGCTAACAGCATGCTTCTTTTCTCCCCTGAAAATAAAGTGAACAGGGCATTTTTTCACTCATATTATTTATGAAACTTGTTCTTTACCTGAAGTTGTCATATTCTTCTGCTTGCCGTTTCCACGGGCATGTCTGTATATTTGCAATGATCTGAAGATAGTCATTCTCTGAGTACCTAGGAGATGAATATCAACATGGTCAGACAAGACAGTCTCACTCCAGTGTCTCCTCCCTTTAGCCCTGGAATCAAGAAGAAATCATTAAATATCAGACTTGCTCCCAAATATCTAGGAATATACAGCTTGAAAAATATATATATCATTATGATATGATGATGATAATAATGATGATGGTTTAGGAATATGGATACTGCACATTTCATAAGCCAACATCAGTATTATAAACTGTGGACATGTTCTTTCTGTATGTTTCTTTTTCTCTGTCTCTCTCTGTCTCTGTGTGACCACAAAAGCTATCTTTTTTTTTTTTTTTTGGTTTGGGTTTGTTTTTGTTTTTCAAGTCAGGATTTCTCTGTGTAGCCTTGGCTGTCCTGGACTTGCTCTGTAGTTCAGGGGAGCCTCAAACTCACAGAGACCTGCCTGCCTCTGCCTCTCTGAGTGCTGGGATTACAGGCTTGTGCCACAGCTGCAGGCTCACAAAAGCAATCTTATATTAACTTTAACTCAATAACAAATACTTTATAAATGTTTATCATGAACATATAGTTGAATGTTTTCAGATTCCAAGTTAATAAATACCTTTACAGTGGGCTATGAAGTTAGGATCCCCTACGAGCGAGCGCGCACATGTGCGCGCGCGCGCGCACACACACACACACACACACACACACACACACACACACACAGTAATCATCTGGCTTTAATTTTCTGCAATACATTAGAAATCGAGACTGGACTGTGATGAGAAAGCTGAACACAGGCATAAAAAGCTCTAGACAGTGACATAGTCTGATAGGCTAGGCATGGGACAAAAATCCCAGCTCCCTTAGATCTCTCTCCATCTGAAATTCCACCATTAAGTATTAATTCCTAAAGCACAGAATGCTGTTTCATCTTTAAGGCTGTTCATTTGAAATGCAAATATCCCTCTGAATTGAAAAAAAAAAAACACCTTAAGTTTTCTTTCCATTCAGCTCTCAGCCATCCAGTTGCTAGCCATAAAAGATCAAAGCTGTGTGAGGAGAAAGAGAGAGAGAGAGAGAGAGAGAGAGAGAGAGAGAGAGGAGGAGGGGTGGGAGGGAGGGAGGGAGAAAGAGAGAGAAGGTGTTGGTGAGTGTGTGGAGAAGAGAAGGGAAAGTGCACAGCCTTACTGGTAGAGTGAGTCCATTACCCACAGGAATGAAATGAAGATTCTCCAAGGTTATCTCTAAGAGAAGGCATTTCTGACAGGTGGGATATATTCAAGCACAGAACTCTTTGTAGCCGAAATTTCTTTCCTCTTGGCTTTTCTCCCCCTTCAACAATGCTAGCAACAGGAATCAATTTGATTCCCACTGACTCTGCAGATGCAGATGTACCCACAAAAATCTAAGAACACAGTGAATACCAAAAGCAGCACAAAACCAAGAGCTTCCACCAGAAGGATTACAAATAGCTGTAAGCACATAGTTCCCAAACACAGCAGACGCAGAGAGATCACTACAGGAGTCCTAGTACATTAAGTCATGAGAGCTCCAGGCTCTGACTCCCAAACCATCTAGATGAGATATTTCCTGGCTGAAGTGCTTGCTTCTATAGGGTTGAAGACAACCAAAGACTTTCTGTAAATGACTGTTAAACTAAAATTAAACAGACAAACAAACAAACACCCATTCAGCAAGTTACCTAAAGTATTCTCAATTCTGGATCATGAAGGATCACTGCTGTGACATATCTCTTGTCTTGAAAAATATTACCAAGTAGCAAGTCAAGGCGTTAAATCTTTTCAGAGTGTTATTGGAACAGTCAGAGCACTGTGCATACAAGTAAACAAACAGCTTTTGCTACTAATCTCCATCAAAGAGAAAGTGTAAAGGATAGGGAAGGCCAAACACATATCTAATTAAATCAATGAAAGCTGAAATTGTATTTGAAGTAAATATGACGCATAATTGAAAAATAAAAGAAACAGAAATGTATTGTCTTATCATCAGACTAGATGTAACTGAGTTTAAATTTTATTGGCATGCTATTTATAAGATAAAAAAAGAAATGGACTATTTTACAATGTATGCCTCAGATTAACGAACTTGAAGATCGAGCAATAAAAACTATTGAAAATTAAAAACAAATGGGGAAAGCTAAATGAAATATGAACAAGTAGGGCCTGGTAGTATAAGTCTATAGTTCCAGTGTGCAGGGGTGGGGTGGGGCTGAGGCAGAAGGATCAAAGGTTTGAGTTGGGCCAGGTGCCATAGGAAGGCCCTATATTGTTTTAACTTATTGACAAATAAATACTAACTTTTAAAAAAAGAGGAAAATCAGCAGGAGACAACTTCAATTTTTTTTTTGGCATATGTATAATTATAGTCCCCGTCAGAGAGAGGAAAAGCATCTTCGAAGCCTGATGGGATATATCACCAAAACTAATGAAAACTATAAACCTACACACCAAAGAAACCCAACAAACATGAAGCACAAGAAACACAAGAAAATGACAACATAAGAATGAATTCTTAGCACTAGCAAAGAGAAAAGCCTTAAATGTAATGAAATACAACACTGTATGTACAAAGAAACAACAGCCTGCCACATACTTCTTGTCAGGAAGAATGGGAGCTGGAAGGCAGTTGACTAGTGACATAAACTGCAGAATGGGACTGGAGGGGAAGCTCATTCTAGAATTCAATAATCAGAAAATCCTTCAAAATATGAAGGTAAAACAAGGGCTTTGTCAGCAGCAATGCTGGAGGCAGTCTCTGGGCAGAACAGCAATGAGGGCAAATTGATGTCCAAGTTGACCAAAAGGTAATGAAGAGCTTGAGAAATAGAATGTGTAAACACACACAGGAACGTCTTCCTTACTCTCCATTTCTTCAAAAGGCAACGGGCTGTGTCACTAATGAGCTAACCTGGCAAGCACGAGGACCTGAGCTTGACTCCCAGAACCCGGGTAAAAATGACAAGATGGCACATGTGTTTGTCATTCTGGCCAGAAGGTGCACACAGAAAGATCCCCGAGGCTTGCTGGCCAGCCATCCCAGCCTATTAGGTGATCCAAAGCCATGGGAGAACCTATCACAAAGCAGATGAACAGCCTTTCTAAGGAAGGAAGGTATCCAGGACTGGTCTCTGTCGACTGGTATGTGCACCCCCCTCCAAACACACACATTTCTTAAAAAAAAAAAAAAAAAAGCAAAGAGAAAATTGACAGTTTAAAGTAAAGATGGTAATAATATATGGAAATGTGGAAAAAAAAAGCCTTGATGGCACGGGTGGGGTGGTAGAAGCAGGAGCAGAAGATGTAGACAGCACTTGTATGTGGACTACAGCAGAAAAAGAGGTGTTCGTTCTATCTAAAACAAGCGGCAAAGCTGAGTGGCCCTACCCAAATTTAGGACTCACTGCATCGTCCCAGTGAGCAGGCTGTGTTTTATTTCAGTCCAGACAGAACAATCAACTACTAAACAAACGAGAAATCTAGAAATGAGGGTGTTCAACAAGGCAGTGCCAAGGGAAAAATAATCTTTTCAAACAGTGACTGCTTCAACAACTGGATAGTCCTACCAACAACAAACCATCAGCCCTCCTCTCGCTCAGTGTACGAATATTAACTCCAAATGGTTTGCTAATCTAAATGTAAGAGCTCTGTGAGGAAACAGAGCTTGGTGGAGCCCCCATGTGCACACGCCTGTGGGGGTAGTGCGTGTGTATATGCACTGTTGGCGCACACGGTGCGTGTGTGGTCATGTATGCACATGTGCACACAGCTGTGCTTGCCTATCAACGTGCAAAGCCAGAAATCTACTTCAGGTGTTTCCCTAAGTCACTGTCCATCTCCTTTTTTTATTTTTAAAGTATTCAGAGACAGGGTTTCTCTGTGTAGCCTTGGCTGTCCTGGACTCACTCTGTAGACCAGGCTGGCCTCAAACTCACAGAGGTCCACTGACCTCTGCCTCCCTGAGTGCTGGGATTACAGAGTACACCACTGCACCAGGTGCCACTTTTTTTTTTTTTTTTTTTTTTTTTTTTTTGAGACAATCTCACTGAGTCTGAAGCTTGTTCTTTCTGGCTGACCAGCAAGGTCCAGATGTGTCCTGTCTCCACTGCCAGCACTGGAGCTATAGGCTTGGGTTGTCATACCTGCCCTTTTAATGTGTGCCCTGGGATCTGGACCAAGGTTTTTGGGCTTGTAGAGCAAGCACGGAGCAAGAACTTTACCGACTGAGTCATCTCCTCAAGCCCAGGTTCGGGGTTTTATACAAACTATATACAGAGTATGCACACTAAACACAAATCTATAAATTAAATATCAAAGAAAATATTACATTTGGAAAACATGATAAAGAAAAAATTTAAAGGCATAGATTGGGAAAAACAAGTACACAACAAACACAGGAACCAGGATGTATAGTAACCTCTCAGAATTGCTGATGACACAAATATGCCTATAAAAAATGGATTTGAATTGACACTTTGCCAACAAAATATGAAAAAATACTCAACAATATTAGTTATTAGGAAAGTCAAATTAAAGCCACAGTGATATGCCATAGCACATCAACAAAATGGCTAAAATTGAACTATTCTATAAAGTTTCCATACACATCCACCAGAATCATGGACAGGTTGACGAGCACAGAGCAACCAGGACTCTGATGCTTATTGTGGGAATATAAAATAGTTTCTTTAGTAAGCCATTTTGAAGTTCCTTCAAAATTAAGTATATGCATATCCTGAAAACCCTGCTATTATCATAAACCCTGTTTATGATTCAAGAGAGATGAAAACACATCCAGACGAAGACCTAAACACAACTGACGAAATCAACTTTATTTGTACCAGACCCTTCTCCCCAAAAAGAAAACCCAATGTCATCCAAAAGGGCTATAGAATATCGTTGTAGCTACATCTTAATGGAATCCGTTGCTTTTATTCAGCAGTACAAAGGAATGAAATGTTGTTACGGTAGCAATATAGACAGACCTCAGAAGAATTATAACAATGTCAAGAGGCC